AAATTCTTAATCGAAGATTGTCTGAGCAGTAAAAAAGATTTCAGCATAGATAGGTTGATTAAAGGAAATCCTAATACTTCATCACGTGATTGAACAACGCCAGTCGTAAAATAACCCGATTTCTGTGTTTGAGAATCACGCAGACACACTTAATCTGATTGTTAAGTTGCATCTCTTGAGACACATTACCGTCAGAAAAAGCCGTAAGGGTTTTTGTCGACGTACTGAGTTCTCTCTTGTTGTAAACGTGTGATAGTGTACTAGGGAATCTCCAAGAGTTTACGTACACAGGGATGTGACTCTCAGGGTAGTCCACTCTCTCCATTCACATTCCATGGCCCAGCAGGCAGACGCTGGCAGGAATTTGAAGCCCAATTTTTCCAAATGATCGCTGATGATATACTTGTCACTATGGGATATACAGGCAATATCACTTTTCTCTTTGGAAATCAAGAAGGCGCGCATGTTCGTGATCTAACTAAATTTACTCCAACACCCACGGATTCAAATGTGATGCTCCTAGAAATGCACTTGCGCATGCCACTTACACTCCATGTAGATATGCACAAAACTGCGGAGCGCTTGAAGGGTCCTGTGGGTTGTATCATTCCTGAATACTGGTGAATTTAGTGCAACAAGGTTTGGTGCGGCCTGCTGGTCGGTTGTGTCAGTTCTGAAAATGGTACGACAGATGACGCCAGTGCATGGATCCCCAAGTATCAGCAGCGTTAACTGAAGCGCCACAGCAGGACATATATGTGTACCATATCGTGTACCATACGAGAAACTGCGTTCTTTAGGGCACGTGTTTTGTATGCCAAATAATCGTTCTACAGATAGCGGACAGTAGACACAGCAAAATACATATAATGGGAAATGTCCGCGTACTGGCGCAGCTACCCGCCTTCCAGGGTGGCGTCCGCGTGGCACAGACGCACCCGATTAGAAACGTTGCAAACGGTCGCAGCTAACCGACGTCGGTACTTGTCACTTCCCATCCAGGTCCGTTAAATGCATGTGCGGATGAGCATGCGCATCGAATGTACAATAAAAAGCTAGCACCGAGTCTGTTCCTTCTCTATCTCCACTCTTTTCTTCACAATACTGAAGTTAAATCACTCATGTTCTTCTCCAAAACCATCCGTGTTGAAAATGGATGATATTGTGTTACTTAAATGGTTATCAAACCAAATGCTCAGAAATTTACAAACTAAGCGCTCGATTTAATGATTTCAAGGGTGACAGATAAATATGTTGTAGCCGCTATGCTACCAAGAATACTGATTACGAACGAGAGAAATGAGGTAACCAGTTAAATGTAACCGAACAAGGGTTGTGCTGGCAGAAGAATTCATATCGGAACATCCTAAGTATTAAGCAGGCTACAAAATATTACTGATTTATGCAAAATCTCTCCAAAAGACAATATTTATCCACGCAGTTTATGTTAGGATTACAGCAAAATCTATTATATTAAAATTACAGCAATTGGCTAGGTATCCTGATGCTATTTTGGACGTAAACTCAGAAGAAAATGTTTGTTTACGGCATGATATCGGTTCACTTTTAACAAGGCATGAATTATAAAAATATGAATTTCAACCAAAGAAATGCACGGTGAACATCTGGATATCTGTGGATTCACCAGTTCTTCCCATTCTAAATGGTTTACGAGACAACAACGCTTAAAATTCACGTTCACACTATATCGCTGTTAAGTAACAAGTTACAAGATATTCGTTGGTTGCTTTATGCAAACATCGACAACATAGTCCATTTGTTCGTCCAGCTGGCTATTTTTCTTGGTTATACTTTTTGAAACAACCATACTTTGCAGAATGTGCTCTCATGTGTCTCTGATATCATGTAAGAAACCTGTTCTGTATGAGAAACTTTGGCGCATGGCGGATAGGACTTGGGTGGTTTGTGCATGTTTGATGCATTAAAGCTTCTGGAGTTGGCACGTCGTATTACCTTAACGCCAAATGGCACCGCACATTACTGCCAAATGGGTTAATGCAGCCCCGTAGAAACGCCCAGAGCCAAATGAGAAGCACGGCCACCACGTTAAACTTACTGAATCAGCATATTCAAATTCACGTCAGGCGACCAGAAGAGGTATTAGGTGCGTAGGTCATCGTTCTGCGTCTTCTGTCAACCCAGTTCTTTGCGAAAGCGGCGTCGTAAGACATGTGATCAACCCCTTCCTTATTTCGCCCGAAGTTTCCTCCGTTAGCGCAATGTTAGTCATATATTCTTTTAGCTGATCACATTCGAAAATGACCTTCCAAGTTAATTCTGTGTTGTGTTTTTTGTCCTGCTTACGCTGTTAATATAATGATGTGGATTCTGCTGTGTGGAGGAGGGCAGGGTATCGTTTCCACAACCATCTTTGAGGATATTTGGTTTGTAATTATGCGTGTCCGGCGACCGACAGCGGCGTTCACTTGCCCGTAGAATTGCCACCAAATTCCTTACTTAGCAAACGGAACATCGGTTACGGGGGCATCACCCGGTCTTCTCAATGGTGTAACACAGGTGGTTACCGTGTTTCGTGAGTAATAATTAATATCCAATTTTTCGTCCAAATTTGGCGCTTCATTGCAAGTGACATTTGTTTGGGTGTGTTGGTCGCAGCCTGCTTCAAAGAGTGGCATACAGATTAAAGTCCTAGTGATATAACAAAGACAGAATTGCGTTTCCAGATTCTTATTCAGTATTGTTAAACTGTAAATCTTGCGTTGCTGAAGGCACGGTAATTAATCTTGCCAAACGGTGAACTGTTTTTCATTAGTCAAATGCGCAATCACTGCTCCTGTTGACCTACCAAGTCTTTGATTTCTACCTGCAAAATTTAGCAGGAACACACCCTTCTTGTCGTAATTGCTAGAACACAAAGTCTGTGCCGAAGTTTGTTCCAGCAACTCCAGAATACTAATAAAAAGAGTCCTGTAATAGAGGACCAAATGGTCAACCAAAGCGTAAAATTTGAACGGACCTCAGGGTAGACTTGCTGTGGAATAAAACGCCCATGGATTCCCTGCACAACTCTCCTTATGAGAGGATTTTCTGTGAATGTCCTCCAAAACGTATAGTTTTGATATCGACACTCCTGGAGTTCCATATACAGCAGAATAACAGATATGCTGAGGATCACAATTCTTCAAGACTGATGCCATTGGTGCGTTTGCTTGTGCGACTGTGTTTATTTTATCAAAACTGTAGCTACATGTTCTCATGGTATTACACTCGATTGGTTCACCATCAAATGTCTGGCGAAATAGTGTATGAGATTTCTGTGCGGTGTTTTCATGTAAGTGCACAAAAAGATATATCCAAAGGGATGGTTTGGAAAGAATAAATAGGCTCATAACTACGCTGGTTAATCCAAGAAAGTCACAGAGATGCGAACGATTTCCATAAATCTTATTATACTCCATCTGCTTACCAGCGAATGTTTGGGAAACAGTAAGTGCCGTTTGCCTTCAAGGTTATTTGATATTTCACACTCCGGATAATTTCGCTAAGCCTAATGGATGTTCCAGTCAGCTAGTGTAAAGTCGGTGGAATGAACTCAGCCCGAAAATTATCTTCATGTGGCCTACAGATATAACTCGGTTGTTCTAGCCCAAATTATTATAGCCTACCTGTTTTGCATCCAGTCACGTCAACTGACCCAAACCTGGGAAGTAAGTTTTCCAAGCAAGTTTCCGCATCTCTAAAATATACTACGCAGAAATCAGTTCTAGTAGCTCCATCACGTAAACTGTAGCTAGGTGTAGTTGCGTTATCACAAATAGGCAGTCACTAAGGGTTTTATTGGAAAGCTCCGTATTTTACCTCACAAAACTGAAATCTCTAGCGGCTTACGGGCTCAAAAATTCGAACTGTTTTCAGAAGCGCATAAGAGGCCAATAATAACCAAGAAAAACAGCCAGGTTCTGAACAATCCAGGTCCCTACGGAAAAGTGTTTTCGGTGGGTGATTCCACCGTCAAGCAGTGCAGTTTCCCAGATAATGTCAGCCATCAGGGAACAGGAAGGAGTCTGCTTTGCGGTTTGATGCGCATACGGTTTTTCTCTATAGGTTTGTATACGACTATAAATTCAGGGTGTTCTGATGAATGTCTTAAGGATATGCCTCATTAATTACACATGTACAGATACTGTGTATATGTTACTAAAAGGGAAACGGGCAAGTGAGCTGAGCTATAATGAATAAATGAAAATCTGATTACGGGTGACATTAACTTGGGTTCCGTGAACTTTTAGATGTTCCTAGTGAAGAATGTTTTCAGCAATTGCACCTGCGATACAACTGACAAACTTTTTTCGAACTGATAGGACTGGTATTGTCCTGGAGAGTTTTCACTTCCTGAATTAGTGGGAATCTTGAAAAAAATTATTGTTTACTTCGACCGACTGAACTATAATCTAAATGACGTCATTAAATTTAAAACACAATTCTATTTGCAAACTAGTAGGCCACATGTAAAACTGACCAGCTGATTGAATACAGCACCCCTTTTTACACATATAGATGATTAATGCTTGACGTGCACTCAGCTGGATAATGGCTTTATGATCATCACCAAAAAAATGTTCAGAGTGGACCTCAACAATTTTGACGACTAACTCTGTGGAACTGCACTTAAAGCTTGTAAGTATGGCTAAATTGTAACCGGTAAAAACTGAAAAAAGTGTTGATCGCTGAATTCTCTGCAAAATTCTGTTCATCTCGCCTGAAATAAAATGACAGTTCCTAATGTCGCTCTATTCAAGCTGATCAGTCGGGAAAACCGTCGGGTGCCGTCTAAGCAAGCCATAAATTACAACCGTTTTCCAGATCTATGCTCTATCTCCAAAACCGTCGGAAACCGCAAGCCCAAGAAGAAGTACTCAATAATATGATCATAGTATTCGATATCGGCACCATCGTCATCGGATTTCTAAGAAAACGTTCTTTGCTAATGTAAAATCCTTATCTCATAAACTTCGCAGCATCTTCAGGCGGGACAACAGGCGGTATATCATCGGCGCCGTCAGATTTGGGAGGTATGTTAGATTGCATGAATATTAGTTTATCGGTTTGCTGTGCAGTCGTACTCAATATATTATCATTAAGAACGTGCAGTTCTATGACCACAAATTTGCAAAAATTAACGTTTGCTCCAATGAAAAATCATAAAAAACGGCTGGTCTAGGACTCTTACTCCAAAATATTTGAATAATTTATCTGTTGTCGAGCAGGTAATGCGTCAAAGAAGAGGAGATACAAAGCTGTATAACAAATGAGTGGCAGAAGTTATGTACGCCAGGTGTTATTTAGGGCATGGAGATTCAAAACTTCCGTTGGACTCTTAATGCACTGTATCTGAATCTGTGTAATTTGTTAATAAACGGAATTTACTTCCACGCAAGTTCGCACAATTCGATCCGGATTCATATATTTCCAACGTCAGTGGAACTATATGCTAACTCTTTGTCCTAACCTTGTCCAACACAACAGTGTGGAATTAAGACATATCCCTGATGATCAGCATCTAGATCGTATGGGAGAAGTAAAAGCCTTCGAAAGTTGCATTATAAAATAACTCCCCTGCTAAGTTCTCTACATTCTATGTACATCAGCTACCACGCACCCGACCACACCCAGTGACGACAGTGAGGTTCCGTTTTTACTTTTTAGTTCACCTTTGCATTTGGATGGCTTGGGTTTTCTCCACGTATGTGTACATCGGACAGCGCTTTATGTTGCAAGCTGGATATGACAAAGCGTTGAACGTCATGAGGTTTTCCTTAAGGCCGCACAAACTTCCCCAGCCGCCGTGTGGCTGCCAAACATGGCACGCAAATGCCATCAGTGTGCGCGATTATTGTGAATAGCAATC